TACTACTACGACTACGACTACGACTACTACTACTACTACTACTACTACTACTACTACTACTACTACTACTACTACTACTACTACTACTACTACTCTGCCTCCCCCTCCTCCTCCTCCGCCTCCTCCCCCTCGTCAACCTCATCCCTCCCCTTCGCCCTCGTCTTCCCTCCTCGTCGATCCCCTCCTCGTCCCCCTCCTCCCCTCTCCACCGCCCTGGCCCCTTGAAATAAGAGGAAGACAGAATCGAGACATCGGACCGATATGAGTCAAGAGTCTCTGAGCATCGGCGGGCTTGGAGGATGTCTCGGGCGCTGCGGCAGTTTCGGAGCGTTCCAGAACGCTCTCTTAGAGCATTCGGGAACCCTCTGGAACGGATTTGTCTCGATTCTACAGCCCTCTTCTAAATCAAACGCAAGTTTTGAATGCTGGTAGACGCGCGAAACGCGGTTCAGTCAGACGTGCGCTTGCAGAGCCAAGTCTGGCGCGAACGCTGAAGTTTTGGGGCCCTGGGGCGACGCCACGTCGTGGGAAAAACTTGCGTTTGATTTCGAGGGGGGATGTAGGCCCGTTCGATGAAAGCCCCCCCCCCCGACGGCGACGGGCAAGCAAGGGGCCTCGCCCGGCTCGTCCCGGGCACCTCCCGCAGAGAGGGGCAGGTGGCGGAGGAGATGAGCATGGGGGCAACGGGTCGGTCTTGAGGGAAACGGGTCCCTGGACCCCAGGACCCTCCCCGTTTTCTGACAATGCCGGGAGCCGCGGAGGGCCCCGAATGTCCGAAAACGGCAGAACACCTCAGGACCCGTTGCCTTCAGGACTGGCATCCCCCCTGGCGCAGGAGAGGGGGCAGGGGGACAGTACGCCAGCGGAGCCTTCGCCGCCAGCATCGCCAGGACACCCACGGGGAGAGGAGGTCAGATTGGAGGCCGCTGGGGGGGCAGCTTGTTCCCAGAGCCAGATCCCAACTGGCTCGGCCGGCGCGCCTGCTCCGTGGATAATAACCCTTCCGACCCCGCTGCAGAAGAGGCTCGGATCTCAGGTCTGCTCTTACCGAAGATCGGGCTGCTTAGGTTCGGGTGTTGCTAGAGGTAACCCTGGCCCAAGGTACCCCCTGGATTCTCGGGGTGGCCCAGACGGACTCCAGGGCACCCATCACGAACCCCTAGAGGGCCCCAGTCAGTCAGTCAAAGCCGTGTGTCAGAAGGCACATGAGCAATATGGCACACTTACCGTGCCAAGCAAAATGACCGCACTGCGCGCTTGCAGTCTCGAGCTGGGATTGCGCATAAGTGTTCGATTGGAACTTGAAGACTGCCACAAACATCTCTTGGAAGTTTGTACACCTCGGCAGGCCACGTCTGTCGCGGTCGGCCTCTCTTCCGCTTGCCGGAGGGGGGGCGGAGGTCGAGGGAGGAAGGTCTAAAAATAGCTGAACGCAAGGGGTGGTCATCACCCTTACAAGCAATATGGAAAAGTATGTGAGTTGCCGCTGCAAGAGAGTACTGCTAAGCTTCATCCTGCGCGTTCGTGCCAGCACGTCCGCATTAGACACTCGGCTGACGCACGAATGCGGGATCCCGAGGATTCTCCGCAGGCACCTTGCTTGGAAGGCGTCGATGCGGGTCAGCTCGTCCTGCTTCAACCATGCCGTGTGCAAGCTGTACAGTAATTTCGTCTGCACGCACGCCTCGTATATCTGTATCTTTCTATGCATCGGGATGCTGCTGCGGTTCCAGACACGGTGTAAAAGTTCGAACTCTGCCCTCGCTAGCCCAAGGCGGCGGCCCAGCTCAGCCTGCATCGTCCCGTCTGCGGAAAGCACGGACCCGAGGTACACGACGCTTGCCTTCTGGGGAATGACAGCCCCGTCCGGCCTGCGAATAACAGCGTTGCATCCCACGGCCAAGATTTCGAGCTTCCCCCAATTGAAGGTGAGACCGTAGTTCGCGCCCGCCTTCAAAAATGGAGCTTCAAAATGGAGCGAAAAGCTGGGGGCACCTTGGGCCAGGGGCACTTCTAGCAACACCCGACAGGTTCGCTCCTGCCCTAATAGCATTACCCCCTCCTCCGTCACCCCAGAACACGGATCGCGCTCGCTGCCCCCCAGCAAACTTCAAGGTCAGAGTGCACATGCTAGGACGCAGCTCTTGGGAGGTCTTCATCAGAATGATGTAATGCCCATTGAGCCCGATGAAGGGGCCACGGATCCAGATAGGGCCAAAATTGAGCCTGGGACTAAGCCGGATTGAGGCGGGACTAAAACTGGTTAATCGGGTGCAAGCCAGATTACGTGGGATTAACTACTCAGATTAGCCAAATGTTCGACCAGGGATATATCAGCGCCGATTCTGAATCTAACCTGGGAGGAGTTGCATCCTAGGGGAGTGGAGGTCAGAGTTTGTATGAGAGGGATTGGCATGTCCCTGAGACCATCCCCCTCCCCCTGCTGGGTGTTATGTTGTTGTACCTTGCGATTCGCTCATCTTCGATCATCGACCCACTTCGGGTTGCAGCTCAGATCGTGTAGAACGACAGCGAAGGGGTGCTGCATGGCGAAGGAGGATGAAGGAGGTTAGTTAGGGAACATGTTCTGGGAGGTCTTCGTAAACGCGGTCAAGGGCTATCGAGCCCGAGTGAGGGGCCATCAAGCTGGACTAGGACGGCGCAGTCCCGGTATTAAGCCGCATAACAACGGGTCACATCGAATTTGGCAAGAGTATGCCCCATTGGACCAGTTCTCGACCATGGGTGCATTAGCGCCGATGCTGAATGTAGCTGGCGCAAGGAGGGAGAAGCAGAAAGAGGGAGCTGAAAAGGAAGGGTCTGTGTAACAGCTCGGCATGAAAACGCACCGTTTGACGTGAGTGCCGCCGTCGCAGAAGGATCAGGAACGGCAGCAGCAGAAGCAGTCCTGCCCTGTCCTTCCCCATTCGGGCGCAATCGGTCTCGGTCCATCATCGGGAAATTCGAGAGAGGGGGAGAAGACGGTAGAACAACAGGAGGAGCGGGCCCTGATGCTTTGGTTGTTTCTTCGCCGCCATCCCATCGCATCTATGTGTTTCCACAAATGCTTGAGCGTATGCCGCTCCACCGCTCGCTCCTTTCGGACTATGAGTGCTCACCACAACAGTCCAGACGCAACAAATTTCCACAGCCTGCATACCGCCAAGAAGGATCGGGAGCTGCATGGATGTCCTCGCTTCGCCTACCGCTCCCCCACCCCCCCAACCTTGAGGGAGCACTCCTGGCCTCTGTCAGTGCGCCACAGCGAGATCGGTCCGCGCTCCCAGCAAGTTCACGAGGATGTCCTTGCGTAGAATTCCTCCTCCTCCTGCTACTGTCCCTAATCTGCCTGCCCCTCTTCTTCCTCCTCCTCCTCCTCCTCCTCATCATCATCAGCATCAGCATCATGATCATCACCATCATCATCATCATCATCATCATCATCATCATCAGCATCAACTTCATCAGCATCATCATCATCAGCATCATCATCATCAGCATCTTCATCATCACCACCACCACCATCATCATCATCAGCAGCATCATCATCAACCTAATCATCATCAGCAGCAGCACAACCATCACCATCATTATCCTTATCATCATCCGCAGCATCCCCTTCGTCATCATCAGCAACAGCAGCAACATCAGCGGCAGCATCATCATAATCAAAACAAACAGCATCATTAACACCATCACCACCACGACCATCACCATCACCATCATCATCAGCATCATCATCAGCATCATCATCAGCATCGCCATCGTCATCGTCAGCGTCATCATCATAATCATCAGCATCATCATCATCATCCTCATCATCATCAGGATCATCATGCAAATCATAATCAACAGCAGCAACAGCAACATGATCATCATGTTGAGCATCATCATCAGCATCATCAACATCATCTTCCACCTGGGAACACCGAACGGACACCTTGACCTCCCCAGGAGTGCGTTCTGACCAGGATGTCGAGGCGAATCCAGACCTGGCGATTAAGGTGTCCCAGGAGGCCCACACAGTTGAAAACGAGAGAAGGGTAGAAATATGGGAATATCCCCCCCCGAATCATCATCGCCACCATCCTCATCATCCTCAACATCATCCTCAGCATCACCGTCACATCGTCAACAACGTCGGCATCATCCACTCTGTAACCAATATTCTTCAAACTGCTCGTCCTCCCCCTTCAGTTCCTCCGCTTCCTTCTCCGTTCGCTTTGTCTTCCTCCACTTCTCGCAAGCATCCGCTTCGACATAGGTACCCCTCGTCATGCCCCCCCGCGCGTGTTCGTGATTCAGCTCGTGATGCTGCTGATGATACTATTCCTCCTCCCACTCATTATCCTCCGCGTCCTCCTCCTCATCCTCCTCCTCCGTGACATTTCGGGGGCGCGCAAACATGGATCAACGATCCATGGACTTGGCGCGCGGTCGCCAAATCCATGGATCGCGGGAAACGCCCTCCCAAATCCGCAATGTCCCGTGGAAACGGGACCCGTCGCTCATCCACGCCCCCATAATCCATGTTTGCGAGTTTGCGATCGCCTGAACAACCTTGTCCTCGTCATCACATCCAGGCTCCCAATCACGTCTCCATGGTCACTATGCTCTTCCTCGTCCCCTCGTTCTGCTCCCATGGTTCACCATGTATCTCCTCGACCGCAAAATCCATGACCACAGCCCTCTCCTGTTTCCACTCTACGCCTTCATCCCCTCCTACCCTCCTCCGCCCTCCTCCTCCCTCGGTTTGCTTCCCACTCGGTCTCATAGAGTTGCCCCCCTCTTCCTCCTCCTCCTCCTCCTCCTCCTCCTCCTCCTCATCATCATCATCATCATCATCATCATCATCATCAGCATCATCATCATCATCATCATCATCATCATCATCATCATCATCATCATCATCATCATCCTGCACCTGATCCTCCTCCCATCCTCCTCTTCCTCCTTCTTCTCCATCATCACTACCATCATCATCATCATCATCATCATCATCATCATCAGCATCATCATCATCATCAGCAGCATCATCAGCATCAGCATCATCATCACCACCACCACCAGCATCAGCATTACCACCGCCACCATCATCCCCATCATCATCATCATCATCATCATCATCATCCTCATCAGCACCAGCATCTTCATCGTCACCAGCATCATAATCATCAGCATCATCATCATCTGCATCATCAGCATACTCATCATCATCATCGCCTTCATCAACATCATCACAATCACCACCATCCTCATACTCATGATAGGCATCATCAGCATCATCATCATCAGCCTAACCCTCCTCATCATCATCACCGTCCTCATCCTCGTCCTCCTACTCATCATCATTACCATCATTATCATCATCACCACCATCCTCATCATCACCACTCCTGATCGACACCGTCGTGATCATCATCATCAGCAGCAGCCGCACCTGCATCACCATTAACAATATCATACTCGCAGCAGCAGCAGCATCAACATCAACATCTGCATCATGATCACCACCATCATCGCCATCATCGTCGTCTTAACACGATTGCAACCGTCATCCTAATCGTCACCATCAGTACCGTCGCCCGCCTCGTCACAACAACCGCTCCCGAACCAGCGCTCTGCACCAAACGCGCCAGCGCGCGCTCGGGCGAGACGCACAGCGCGCCAGACGGGACAGGCGCAGCAGGAGCAGCAACCCCCGCATTCGTGGTCGGCAGCGAAGGCGGAGGCCAACACGTTCGGAAAGCTGGCGGGCCGCGCCAGAACGACAGCCACCGCGCCGCCAGAAGGAGTGCTGAACGCAAACGAAAGGGGCTTGCCTGGCCAAGGAGAGCGTCGGCAAGGCATTGGTTCCCCGACCTAGATCTGGGTGACGGCCCTCAAAAAACCAGAGCCACCCCCTGAGCCCAAGGCGCTCCTTACTTCAGCGCTTGACTGTAGGAGGGCAAACGGGGCAGCTCAGGAAAGTAGCACAAACTCTTGGAGGTCCGCGCGGATTTCCTGGATCAGCGCAGGACCCCCCTCCCTGGCGCGCGGAGCGCTCCAGGGGCGCTGGAGGCACCGCCAGGGGGGGCCCAGCGCGGATCCAAGATATCCGCGCGGAGCGCCAAAAGTGTATGTGTATACCGCTTTTCCTTCTTCGAGAGAAGGGGGAGGGCGGCCGCGGATGGGGAACGCGGGAGGAGGCCGCAGGCATAGACTGTGCCAGAGTCGTCGCCGCGAGGCGTGCGCAGACAGCCTCAGGCACCAGAGACGCCGGTGCACTGGAGGGCGCGGCCAGTCCGAAAATGCCGCAGGGGGGCAGCGCCGGCCCCGCCGAAGAGGCAGGCCGTCCTCCACGAGGTGGCAGGCACGGCCCGTGACCACCGCCGGTCTGGTGTGCTCAGTCCGCGGCCCCAGAGCTCCCAGCCCCCTCCCAGGGGATAGTCTCCGATGGGCCTGTTTTCCACCACCACCACCATAGTTGGAGGGGGAAGGGGGTCCTCCTCCTCCTCCACCTCCTCCTCCTCCTCCTCCTCCTTCTCCTCCTCCTCTTCGTCCTCCTCGTCCTCGTCCTCCACCTCCTTCCTCCCTCCAACTTATGGTGGTGGTGGTGGTGGTAGAACACCGGCCCAGCAGGTTCCCGCCCAGGGTCCATTTTGATAGCGCCAGGGCCCGAAAAATGCCCCCCAGAAGCCGAGATCGAAGGGTCAAACGCCCGGATTGAAAAGATCATTTGTGGAAGCCGAAAAGGTACCAATGCCGCTACTCCCAAGGCCTCTGCTGGGGTCTGTTCTGACCAGGGTTGCGAAGCGAATCCAGCGGTGGCGACGAGGGCCGCCCAGGAGGCTCAAAAAGGGGAAAACGAGGCCGAGGTAGCGGTATGGGCACCTATCCTCCACCGAAATCGAAGGAGAACGCCCCGATTGACAAAATGATCTGCCTCCCTGGCGAACATGGCGGCACGTTGGTGCGAGGAACATTGGCGGCGCGCACAAGGGGGTAGGGGGAGGGGGAACGGCTTCTTAGAAGGAGGCTGCTAAGAAGGCGCCAGCCCTGCATCTACAGACAAGGCCCGCGCCTTTTCAGAAGCAGCCTCCTTCTAAGAAACCTTCCTCCACCCCCATGCCCCCCTCTGCGCGTGGCTGCACAAACGCTATGCGCAGCTTTGACTCCAAACGGCGGTGAGGCCTGAGACAAATCAGCTCGCACTCAGACGTCAAGGAAGAGGAACGGAGGATGAGGACGGAGCAGAGGGAGCAGACAGGCGGAGGAGAGGGAGGAGACAGTCGCGGGAGGAGGCTGTGCGAGTCAAAGCGTCGCCAGGCAAATCGAGAACCTCAACCCCCCCTGCAGCAGGGCCGGGACGGCCACGTGGAGGTGGCCGACGCGGGGCGGGCCTGTCAAGGCCAGCCCGCGCTGCTCTCCCAGGGTCACGGCGGGAGTTGCGGTCGCTAGTTTCGAAGATGCAGCCAGGGCGAGGATCACATCGGGTGAGGATAGATCGAGAATCTCTGAGATCCTACGGCCCTGGAGGATGCATCGGGCCCCAAGGCCTTCTCAGAGCGAGCGTTCTGGAATGCTCTGGGAACGGATGGATCCTCGTCCTAGCCCCGTCCTGCTTTCGGCCTCTGGAGTAACAGGGGATATGTCGACCAGGTTTTGGGAGGTTGTCGACTGGACAAGGAATTTGGGGCCCAATCCTGGGATATACGATGGCGGGCGTCCATCCTCGATAGGGACATCGGGCATCAGACATCGGCCTGCAGTCGAGGTGCCAGGTGGGAGAAGGGGCGCCGCTATGAGTGACAATGATTGGCGCTGGGACAAAGCACAAACGAACTAGGCAAGAAACACAAGAGGGATAGAGAGAGAGAGAGAGAGACACCCACACACACGCAGAGGACGGACAGAGGACAGAAGCAGCGTGTGACAAATATACAACGATGTGCATATGAAACATAAACACATTTCTGAATTGCGACGCACTGGCTCACTTACTGACCCTGGTTTGATACTGTCCCAAATATTTGTGGCTGCACATTGTAACTAATATGCAGCCGTCTGTGGTGCATCCGGCACGCAGTGCTCTGTTTAACGTGGTAGATCGTCCCACCACCTTGTTTTGGGGCGACCAGCTCGTCGATGTGCCTGCTCGTGCACATTGTGCCCGGCCTCCCGTTGCAAAATCGATCGTGCCGATTTTTTGAAGTGCTGGTGGCAACAGTTTGTACCCATTCCCATTTCGTCGATAGGGGTGCGTCCGATTAGCCCCCGTGGGGTGCATCTCCGAGTTTCTCTCTTTTTCCAGGCGGCCAAACTTTTCGGGCGCCTGCGACCTGGGAGCCCTCGCCGGGCCTCGGGACTGTGAGCAACAAAAATCAGGATGAAAAAACAGCCCTGGGGAAAGGGTCTAGGCATCCGGGGCCCAGCATTCAATTATCTTGGCGAAGGGCCCAACAATATGCAGTTGTGAATATCGCCCTAGAGGGTATCGCATGAGGTGGATCTCCTTATGGGGCCACGAACCCTGTAAAAGGTGTGCCGAAATGGGGCGGGGACGCATGCGGGCGCAGCCATTGGGGTCTTCGGTGGCGCTCGATACGGGGCCACGAAGCGTATGATTGGCGTGCCGAAATGGAGCGGGGCCGCCAAGCGAACGTCGCCTCTGGGGCCGTCGGTGGGGATCCCTAAGACGCCTGAGAGGTATGACAAACTGGCAGGCGGGGGGGATGCATGCGAACGTCACCACTGGGGCCTCTGGTGGACCTCTTGATGGGGCCACGAAGCTCGTGAGAGGTGTGCCGAAATGAGCGGGGGGAAACGCATGTGATCACAGCCACTGGGGCCTTCGGTGGAGCTCACCATGGGGCAACGAAACGCCGTACTGGGTGGCGCGGGACGCGTGTGGTCACAGCCACTGGGGCCTTCGGTGGCGCTCGCTATGGGGCTTAGAAGCGCCGTACTGTGTGGCACAGGACGCATGTGGTCACAGCAACCGGGGCCTTCGGTGGAGCTCCCAGTGGGTCAAGAAACGCCGCACTTCCGCACTGGGAGGCGCGGGACGCATGTGGTCACAACCGCTGGGGCCTTCGGTGGAGCTCCCTATGGGCCACGAAACGCCGTACCCGGAGGCGCGGGACGCATGTGGTCACAACCACTGGGACTTTCGGTGGAGCACGCTATGTGGCCACAAAAGTCCGCACTGCTTGGCGCGGGAAGAATGCGGTCACAACTACTGGGCCCTTCGCTGGAGTTCCCGGTGCGGCCAGGAAGCGCCGCACTGGGTGGCGCTGGGCGCATGTGGTCACAGCCACCGGGGCCGTCGGTGGAGCTCGCTGTGGGGCTACGAAATGCTGCAGTCGGTGGCGCGGGGCGCATGTGGTCACAGCCATTGAGCCTTCGGTGGAGCACCCTATGGGGCCACGAAGCGCCGTACTGGGTGGCGCGGGACGCATGTGGTCACAACCACTGAGGCCTTCGGTAGAATCTCGCTATGGGGCCATCAAACGCCGTACTGGGTAGCGCGGGACGCGTGTGGTCTCAGCCACTGGAGCCGCCGTTGGAGCTCGTTATGGGGCCACGAAACGCCGTACCCGGTGGCGCGGGGCGAATGTGGTCACAGCCACTGGGGCCTTCGGTGGCGCTCCCTGCGGGGCCCACGAAACGTGGTGCTGGGTGGCGAAGGACGCTTGTGGTCACAGACAGTCGGGCATGCGGTGGAGCTACATATGGGATCACGCAACGCCACAGTTGGAGGCGCAGGGCGCATGTGGTCACAACCACTGGGGCATTCGGTGGCGTTCCCGATGTGGCCACGAAGCGCCGCACTGGGTGACGCGGGACGCATGTGGTCATAGCAGCTGGGGCCTTCGGTGGAGCTCCCTGTGGGGCCACGGAACGCCGTACTGGATGGCGCGGGACGCATGTGGTTACAGCCCCTGGGGCCTTCGGCGGCGCTCCCTTTGGGGCTACGAAGCACCGTACTGGGTGGCGCGGGACGCATGTGGTCACAGCCACGGGGGCCTTCGGTGGAGCTCCCTGTGGGGGCACGAAACGCCGTACTTGGTGGCGCGGGACGCTTGTGGTCACAACCACTGGGACTTTCGATGAAGCACCCTATGTGGCCACGAAGCGCCGTACTGGGTGGCGCAAGGGCCTTCGGTGGAGCTCGCTATGGGGCCAAGAAACGCTGTACTGCGTGCGGAGGGCAGGGGCAGGAATGGGAGGATGGGGCTGTGGTGGAGGGGCGAGGAGGAGAAAGAGGAGGAACGCGGGGCGCTGTCTCTTCAAAACGAAGACTCAACACCCGAGGATGGTTTGGGATAACTGACTTCATGGGCAAGAGATGCACGCATGGCCGTTGCTAGAGCAGGTGGCGGGTGCGCTGGCTCTTTTTTCCGCGGGCGGCTGGGAGAATGCCGCGCAAGAGGCCTTCCGAAGGCGTGACGCGTCGAGATCTGAGAGAGGAGGCTGCGAATGAGGAGCCATGCAGACGAGCGTGTTGCTTCGGCGGGCCGCCGATATAAAAATCGTGTCAGCATCCAGGGTCTATCATGGAGTCGCGTCCGAGCGCGAGGCGGGGCGTGGCCGATCCCGCCTCGGCGATGTCCCCGAGAGGCCATCCGTTCTTCTCCAGGTTTTGGGTGGGAGGGCGCTGAGGGGCCGTGCCAACGGCCCCTCTGCAATGGATTCACGTGGCAATAATGATTCATAGTAGCAGCACGAAATTATACGATCACCTGTGCCCGCAATCAACCCCTGTCTCCACAGCCCCTCCCATCTCATCGTCGCCCTTCTCCTCCCCCTCCTCAGCCTCCTCCTCCCTGTCCTCCTCCTCCTCCTCCTCATCCTGCTCCTACTGCTCCTCCTCACCAATAAGTAATACTCTTCCTCCTCCTCCTCCTCCTCCTCCTCCTCCTCCTCCTCCTCCACGTCCGCCTCCCATCATTCTTTCTCCCGCTCCCCGTCCCGCTCCCCCCTCCCACTCTTCTTCCCACATCCCCCCTTACCCTCCTCCCTCTTCCGTCCTACCGCCGTGCGGAGATTGGGTCTCACGGCCCCCCGTCCCCCCGGAGCCCTCCTTGATGTACCGGAGGCGCTTCGCAAGCTCCGGGCTGGGGACGTCGAGGACGTTCGAGAGCGGGTACGAGTTCACCTGCCGAGGCGACGCAGAGGTAGAGCAGGAGCAGCAGGACGGCGAGGGGAGGAGGCGACGAGGGGAGGAGGAGGGGGGGAGGGGAGGAGGTAGCCAGGAAGAGCAGGGATGGGGGTGGGGAACAGGAGGGAAGGTGGAGGCCCACACTGGAGACCCTGCCCAGTGCGACCCAGACGGAGGACGAACTAGTATCACCTGAGGACGGGCCCCTGCTAGGAGGCGCCAGACACGAGGACCACGCGGGCGGTCACGGTGACGCATTCGCGGCGGATCCCGGGACGCCGGCACCTTTGAGAAGGTGGCCCGAGAAACAGAAGACGGCGCAAACACTGGTGCTGACCTGCACATCGGTCGCGAACATATGTTCCCGAACCGTTTACGAACCGTTCGATTTGAACATCTCTGTTTCCTCTGAACCGAGCGGCCGTGGACAAGGGCATCATGGGCCTTGGAATTCGCGAACAGGTGGTTCTGAACCGTGAATGACCAGTTAGCGGACATCCAAACACGAACATGTTTGTTTCATCATTCCGAACACATGTTCGGGCACGCCTGGCATAAACATGAACTTCGGAAATCCGCGCGGATATCTCGGATCGGCGCTTGACCCTCCTCTCTGGCGGGACCAGCACCGAATCCAGGAATCCGCGCGGGCCTCCGAAACTCGACCAAGCCAACGGCGAAACCGAAAACGATCGGGAGAGCGAATGTTCTCGATTGCACTTGGCCCTGGCTCGGTGGCGATCCCGGGGGGAAGTGAGAAGAGGCGGGCCTTCTCAGAAGGCTCGGAAGTCCTTCGGCCTTCGGAGAGGTCGTGCAAGCCCTCCCCGAAGGCACTGAAAACTGCTCAGAAGGCCCGAGGCCTTCTCAGAAGCCCCAGCGCCTTCTGAGAATCAGTACCGTCTCACCGATCCCCATCCCCAGCGGCGTGGCCTGGGCCCCACTGGCCGATTTACCCCCCTTAGATGGGGGTATAGGCCGTTACCTTCGGGTTTCGAGGAGTGTATCCCCAACTGGGGACTGGGGGGTAATGTGGTGGGGGTCTCGAAGGGGATGGGGATGGGGATGGAGAAGGCCTTCTCCTTCTCACTTCCCCCCCTCGCTCGCCGCCGAAGTTGGCCCTGGTCCGCTCGAGGAGCCTGCGCAGCCGCGGAAGCTCTGGCGAGGAGACTCGCCCCGCACCGCGCGCCAGCACCGCACGCGAGGCCGCGCCGAGCTCCGAGGCGGCGAAGCCGCGCCCGCGCGCCAGCGAAGCCGTGCAAGCGAGACAATGCTGTTCGTCAGCGGCGAGGCGGCGAACTCCGCTCCAGCGAGAAGCCAAATAGGGGCACTGACTAGCGAATTGGCCGGCGAGCAAAGAGGGGGGGGGGACGGCCGAGAGGAAGAAGGGACGCTCAGGCGCCGAAGAGTTCGACGATGAGCAGCCGGGGGGAAGTGCAAGCGAAACAGGCTGCCCGAGCAATCGGTCAGGATTGTGCCTGGAAGGCGCATCGCTTGCAGTGCGCGGATGCTGCATTAGGGGGCCACACGCGAACCCTACCCCTGCCCCCCCACGATTTCCGAGGGCGGGGGTGGGGTTCGCTTCGCTCGGGCCTCCAAGCGCCTGCCGAGACTCCCAAGACCTTCCAGAGCATCCCAGCACTTTCAATCGCCAACCGACGACTTCAAGAGCCACCCAGAGGCGGCGCGTCCTGCGGCATGCCAGAACGGCTTGAGCCAGAAAGGACACGCTGGAGAACGCCACGGCCAACGAGAGGGCTGGCAACATGCGGCACGCAGCATGGAACAAACGGGGGAACAACTGTTCGGAGAGAGGCGGCCGAACTCCTGCCTCGAGGCCCTCCGCGGCGCGCGAGACGGCCCAGGAGAAGGCTGAAGAGGCTCGAGATAGTGACGTGACCAGAGGGGGGGAGGAAGGGAGAGGGACGTGGGGGAGACAGCACGGATCATCAAGAGTCCTCCTGCTCACTCTCCTCTCATCATCATCATGATCATCATCATCATCAGCATCATCAGCAACATCATCAGTATCATCATCATCATCATCATCATCATCATCATCATCATCATCATCACAATCATCATCATCATCATCATCAACATCATCATCATCACCATCACAGTCATCGCCATCATTATCAGCATCAGCATCATCATCGTCATCATCATCATCAACATCACCATCACCATCACCATAACCATCGCCATCACCATCACCACCATCATCATCATCACCATCACCATCACCATCACCATCATCATCATCATCACCGTCACCACCACAATCACCATCACCATCACCGTCATCGTCAACATCACCATCACCAACAACAACATAATCAACATCAAAACCACCATCGTAACCAAGCACGTAACCATAATCGTCGTAATCAGCATCATCATCGTCATCATCATCAGCATCATCATCATCGTCATCGTACTCTGCATCGTAATCATCAGCATCACCACAACCACCATCATCATCATCATCAGCATCATCATCAGCGTGGACGCAAAATAGTAAGGTGTAGCACCGTGGCTGTGTAAACCAAATCTGCATCCTCGAGACACCCCCATAGGTGGCAACCGGCGACAACGGGCAGGAACATGACGAACTCTCAGGACACCCCCACAGAAGGCAACGGGCCAGAAGGTGGCGAATATTCCGGACACTCTACAGGCGGTATGTGAATCCTCGGGACGTACGTAAGTGCCCCATAAGTGAAAACACTGCTTGGGGAATCACTACCATCGTCATCACCACCACCATCATCACCACCACCACCATCACCATCATCATCAACATCATAATAGCAAGTATAAAAACTCAAACAATCACAGTAATACGAATCATCATTATCACAATGATCATCATCATCAGCAGCAGCATTACCATCATCGTCCTCACCATCATCATCATCATCATCAGCATCATCATCATCATCATCATCATCATCATCATAGTCACCATCATCATCGTCACCATCATCACCGTCCCCATCCTCATCCCCACCATCATCATCATAATCATCAGCATCATCATCATCACCAGTAGCATCATTATCAACAACACCATCATCATCATGATCACGATGATCACCAATACCATCACGTTATCCCTACTCCTCCTCCACCTCCTCCTCCTCGTGTTCCATTCAAACAATGCCTCCCCTCCTTACTCTTTCCGCTCCGTCGCCTGCCCTCCCGCTCCCGCTGCTGCGGCGCTTGCGTGATCCTGCGACTCGGCGGCGAGCCCGAGGGGAAGTGAGAGGAGGCGGGCCTTCTCAGAAGGCTCAGAAGTACCCCGGCCGTCTGAGAAATGTCCTAAGCCTTCCCCGAACACACACGTAACCTCTTGAAGCCCGGAGGGCTTCTGAGAAGCCCCGCCACATCTCGCTTGAAGGCCTCATCCTTCTCACTTCCCCCCCTCGCTCGCTGCCGAACGACAGAGGGGAAGGGGGTGTACTGGCTCGGGGTGGAATCATTGACATGGAATCGGCGATACGTCGCCGATCGATCGTCGACCGGCCCCCGAAAGAGAATCCACACGTTCATGGGCAGAGTGTGCTGTCGGGCGGTCATTGGGCGATCGGGGGTCGATGTATCCCCCCCGAGCAGATCCCCCCCAGCGTTGCCCCTGACTCTCGTCATCCTCATTCAGAATTGAAAACGTCGCCTGGCCCCGCTTGTCGACGTACGTCACTGTGTGGGACTTGGAGGACAGCACTGCCTCGGTCCTGTCGAAGAAAACCACCTCAGGCACAGAACCAAGAGAAAAGACAAAGTGGCCACTACCTCCCCTCCCTCCTTGTTCCTCCCCTCCATCGCCCCCTCTCCCATAACCATTGCCACCGTCCCCGTCTCTCCCCCTCGATGCCCTCCCCCCTCGATGCCGTCCCTCTACTCCTCCCCTCCCTCCTTCATACTCCCTCTCATCCTCCCTCTCTCTTTCCCTCCATACCCAGCCTCCTCCATCACCCCTCCTCCCCAGGACCTTATCTCTCATCTGTCGTCTGTATTCTCAAATGTCCAGCCTCTACGGTCATTCATATCACATTTCTCCTTCCCCTCCCTCATCCCTCCCACCTTCCCTCTCTCCATTGCGCAGGTCTGACCGACCTGCACGATCTTGTTGCTCAGCTGGAACATGATAGCGTGCCTGTTGCGCGTCCACTTCTTCACGTACGGCGCCTCTCTTGCGGCGGGACCCCCGATGTATATACAGAGGTGCGTATGTATATACATATATGAGTATGGGATGTACAAGCATTATAGTACACACGTGCATGTGGCATCATGTGCATACATGTGTAAATGTATGTGCATAGATGTGGAAAATGACGTGTACATGTATATCCGCCACCGTGCCGCAAGGCATGGGTTGGAGTGTCCTCAGGTCCCTGAAGCTGTCCTAAATCCCTCAGCCCTCAAGGCTGAAGATTCTTAAACAGGTCTGGACACCGAGTTCTCAAATCTCCAGGGGCTCATGGCATGTCCTTTGGGCCACGGCGCGTGTTCCCGCTTGACCATGCCTGGCCAAAAAGGGCCCCAAAACGGGGCAAGATGGCCCCAAGAGGTCCCCACGACGGTGCAAGAGGGCCCCGAGCCGTCGAAACATTCCAAGGCGCTCTCGATGGCCTCTATACGGCCCAAGGCGCCCCAATGGGCCCCCGAAAAGGACTCCCAAGTGGGCTCCGAGAGGAACAAATCGTGCCATTCCGTTTTCAGAAAACGTAGGACTGACACATTCGCCTCCTGGAGCCCCAAGACGGCCAAAAAGGTCCTCAAGATCGCACCAAGAAGACCAAACACGCCCCAAGAGGCTCCAAGACGGCCAGAGACGGCCCCAGAGTTAGGTCGGGCATGCCCCCCTACAAGCGGATTTTGGACGAAATAGCTAAACATACTCGAAAAATACCTCCCGATAATCAAAAAAAAAACATTCACTGCGTGGAACTCCCACTATGTACATCTATTTGCATGAGCCTTTTCACCTGTGAAGCCAATACGCAAGAGACTTCGAATATACACGGGTCTGAGTATTGATAGGCTGAGAATGAGCCTCAATAGTACGAGTGAGTCTGTGCGCATGAGCCTAGGGCCTCCTGGGGCCTCCTCACACCCCGGGGGAGGCGGCCTCCTGAAACCTCCTGGGGCTTCCTGGTGCCTCCTGGGGCCTCTTGGGGCCTCCTGGGGCCTTTTGGGGGTTCCTGTGACCTCCTGAAGCCTCCTGGGGCCTCGCGTGGCCTCCTGGGGCCTCCTGGAGCCTCCTGGAGCCTCCTGGGGCCTCCTGGGGAGGATCCGTGCCCACGAGTCTGGCAACCAAAACAGGCAAACTGCTCGAGACATCCTCAAGTTCTGGCCACCGCCACTGTGGCAGTCGTGCCCCAGGGGAAGCCCAATATATAGGAACAGACGTACACAAAACACTGCGGATTGGAGCCACAGGAGAAGGACAATCTATAGGAACACATGGACTCACCAAGGACTCGTGCCCCAGGGGAGGCCCAATCTACAGGAACAAACATCAAACACTTAGGATTGGATACGCATGAGAAACACAACATATAGAAACATGCGTAGAACACCAAGGACTAGTGCCTCGGGGGAGGCACAATCTATAGGAGCATACGTGCAACACATGGGATTGGAGCCACTCCTGTGGCCTTCTGAGGTCTCCTGCTCCTGGAGCCTCTTGGGGCCTCCTGGTGCCTTCCGGGGCCTCCTGTGGCCTCCGGGAGCCTCCTGAGGCCCTCTGGAGCTTCCTGGGGCCTCCTGGAGCATCTTGGGGCATCCTGTGGCCTCTTGAATCTTCCTGTGGCCTCCCGATGCCTCCTGGGACCTCCTGTTGCCTCCTGGGGCCTCCTGGAGCCTGCTGGAGCCTCCTGTGGCCTCCTGGGGAGGATCCGTGCCCACGGGTCTGGCCACCAAAACAAGCAAACCGCTCGAGACATCACAATGATGCGCGGTGAAGATGCAAGGGTCCTGGAGGCCCATGTGAACGATTTTTTAACGAGGCTGGCCAGCGAGAGTGGCCAGGGATGGGCCGAAAGAGGGAAGGACGCAAGGGTACCGATCGGTCGGAAGAAGTAGATAGAAACATGAAGCAGGAAGGCGTTGGAAATAGATTGGGTTTCCGCCCGCCTCCTGAAGAGGAGGGAAAAGGGAAAACCACTCGACTCTTGAAGTGGGAAGGCGCTTATTAAAGTAGATTGGAATCTGGGATTCCAAAACTACCTGCTTTCAACGACCGATGGTTCCTGGTTACCCTTGGGAAAATTGCTCATCCTGGTTGTGCGGGTTGACCGCAGGCCAGGCCGGGCCGGGCCGGGCAGCGACGAGGCGGGCCCAGCCGCGGCGACGAGCCACCCCGTCAGGGCCCCCAAAGAGATGGCCAGAGGCGCGCACGAGCCCCGATCCTCGAAGCCCACGGTCCTCGATCCTCGGGCCTCCATCCTGGGGGTGGAGGCCAGTCCGCACGAAACTTTCACGAGAAACCCAACCCTGAGACCCCAGGAGGTTCATTGATTTCTGGTGTCGGAACGTCACGCTTTCCACAGAAACAAAAACCATCGGAACCTAAGAAACTCAGGGCACCCTGGAGGCAAGCAAGGCGTTTCTTGGCATGGGTCTACACTGTACGGCAGGCTCATGTCGCGACGACTTGAGCGGTGGCTTCTGACACCGCGTGGATCGTTCAGCCTCGAATGACCGCGGCGTTCCGATGGCGCAGATCGTGCGATCTCGGCCGATTCCAAGCCAGGGACGGCGATCAAAGACCCCCGACGCCGTGATCGGTTCACAACGTGCACCCCCAAAAACCTGGACCCTTCCCAGGGACGGGCGTTCCATCCTTCGTTCTCTTCGCGGTCACGCGAGGCCTGACAAGGGCCCCCTGAGCCACTCGGGGCACTCACAACCCACTCACTTCTTTACTCTAATGAGACCAGATCGAACTCACCTGGCATCCACTGGCAACCCTCCTATCCCCCCAGCATCGATGGCAATGGTTTCCATGCAGGCCTCAACTCGGATCTCCGGCAGCAGTTTGGGACGATCCAGGCACCCCCGGATCGCCCTCGACGAGGCGAGGCTGCTGCGGCATCCCCAGGCGAGAAAGCCCCTCACGCGAACGTCCGAAACTCACGAAGCCGTCCGAGGACATATAGCCCCCAGTGAGGGCCCCCAAAGGCCAAAAGCAGCGACAAACCTTTGAGCAGGGACCGACCGTCCCAGCATTCATATAGGCCTACCACGACATATTCTTAGAATCCAAAAAATATTCTATCGGGAGCGGCCAAGAGGGGGGTGTCCAAGAGGGGGGGGTGCAAATCATGACCGGCGGCATGTGCGCGGCCCAGCGGGGGGGCCAGGGACGTAATGAAACAAGAAGAGGCGCCATGAGATCTGGGGAAATATCATGGCCCACGCCATGATATCCACCCCCCCCCTAGTCATCACCCCCCTCTTTTCCGCCCCCGATTCTAAGAACAGAAACAATGTTCTCTTAACATAAGCACCATGAGTTTAAATCCGCCGGCCCCCTTGTGGGGCCACCAGGCTGCGATGCACGGGTTCGCAGTTTCCAGTACCAGTTGTAGCTTGTAGTTTCCAGTGTTACAGTTCTGCTTCTTGCTGGTTACTGTAACTAGTTGATTGACCGCGCGAGGGGGGGGGAGGCCCAAACAGGATTTTTAGCACCTCCTGGGCGCGTTGTCTGAATTGCTGGGGGGGCTCGAAATCGACACCCCTCACGCAGATCCGCGGGGTCAGGGTCCAAAAACAAGGGATTTGCCACATTTCTGAAATTCGGTGCCACCCCTCACGCAGATCCGCGGGGTCAGGGTCCAAAAACACAAGGGATTTGCCACATTTCTGAAATTCGGTGCCACCCCTCACGCAGATCCGCGGGGTCAGGGTCCAAAAACACAAGGGATTTGCCACATTTCTGAAATTCGGTGCCACCCCTCACGCAGATCCGCGGGGTCAGGGTCCAAAAACACAAGGGATTTGCCACATTTCTGAAATTCGGTGCCACCCCTCACGCAGATCCGCGGGGTCAGGGTCCAAAAACACATCGGGATTCCGCGGGGTGCAGGGATTTGCCACATTTCTGAAATTCGGTGCCACCCCTCACGCAGATCCGCGGGGTCAGGGTCCAAAAACACAGGGGATTTGCCACATTTCTGAAATTCGGTGCCACCCTTCACGCACATCCATCGCAAGGCGTGGTAACCCAAACTGCGAGAACTCCCTCGGCCCTTTAATCGCAAGGTGTGGTAACCAAGCCCGTAAACCATACACGTCTTACCAATCGCCAGGTGTGGTAACCCCTCTTGTGATCAGTTGGTTTTGCTGATTGCGAATCGGCTTCGCATGAAGTTTCGATACTGCTTCACGACAGCGCCAAGGCCTCATGACTTAGCTCTTCCATGGCCCATTCTCCGAGAGAGGGGGCCGGCGGCAGGGGGCGAAGCCCTTACGGATAAGACAGTCCCAGCCAGAAATCTTCTAAGAACATTTCGTGCAGAACACAACAGGTTCTTGAGAACATGTTCTGGTAGGCCTATGGGCGAGCCAAGACGCTTCGCCACTGCTTGAAACCTCCGGCCGGGATTTCCTCGCACGACGCGCGCCAGGGACTGCGTTCCACCTCGGACGCCCAAGCCAGAGCTCTCCGCGTCGACGGGGCCGCGGGCCGGACCAAGCGGCGCCGCCGGCCTGGCCAGGCTCCGACGTCCCCAGGCGCGTCTGCGACCGCGCCAACTCCGGCGCCGGGGGGGGCAGGGCCGACTCGCCGGCCGTGGCGCCGTCCTCCCACGGGGCGGAGGTGAGACGGCGGCGGCGACGGCGGCGGCGGCAGCGACGCCAGCGGCGACAGCAGCAACGACGGCGGCGACGGAGAAGGCGACGGGGACGACGGCGGCAAGGACGACGGCGACGACGACGACGACGACGACGGCGCCACGGCGGCGGTGCCACGGCGGCGGCGGCGGCGAGAGAGCGAGGCGTGCCCCCGTACCTTCGACGGCGACGAGTTGTTCGAACTCAGCGGTTTTCCCAGGAGTTTCGACAACTGGAGCCAGTTTTCGGGCCCTGGGGCCACCAAATATGGATCTGAGACGAACACTGCGCCGACAAAAACGATTCGGACCTGGCCGCGAGTGATCAATAGGGCAAAGAATAACAAATGTAAACATAAACTTCGGACCGGCGCTGGACACCCCTCCCTGGCGCGCGGAGAGCGCCAGGGGCGGCGCCGGAGACGCCGCCAGTGGGTTCCATGGCAACGCAAGTGCGAGAAGTCTGCGCGGCCCTCCGGAACTTTATGTTGATGCCGCTCTGCGTTATGAGAATCAAGATGAATCAAAGTTGGAGGACCGAGGATGGAGGTTTTTGCACGTTTTGGGGACCTTCTGGGCCAGCCTCTGGAGTGGGCCGTCGCGGCCACGCCCAGGGGGTCCGCCCTGAGATTCTGGCCAGAGCGCATCCCCACAGGAGGTCCGAGGACCGATTTTCAGGGAGAGAGAAGGAAGAAAGAGGAGGAGGAGGAGGAGGAGAAGGAAGAGAAGGAGGAGGACCAGTGTAAACCCAAAACTCAACAACGATATCGCAACCTCTTCATACGCTCCTACACGGATTCATCTTCACTGAGGGAAATGCCTCCTTGGAAATCAAACGTTTGAACATCTGACGTTAAGCCAGAGCGTCATTCCTGAGACTTCAACGCCGCGAATCACCCTTACAATTGCGTCTTGACGATCCTTCACCGTGGCAACACCATTCCTGGGACTTCAACACCGCGAATCACCGCGACCGCTGCGCCCTGGCATTCCAGCATCGTGCCAAAAAACCGTCTCTGGAACGTGGAACGTTAGCTATGATAACCCGATCCTCAGACCTCGATCCTCGACTCTGGGATCTCGATCCTCGATCCTCGGACTTCGATTCTCGATCCTCGATCCTCTGCTTTCGGTCCTCTGAACATCACCTCTTTCTCCTCCCACATGCTGGCCTCCGGTAGGCGACATTGATAATCCCACACGCGACCCCGATTTTTATAATCCCTGTGGGATTATTATCCGGCGCGCAGGGTTATTGCAACCTCTTGAGACGAATGCGCGCGGCGCTAGGGCGAGAACCACATTTTGAAAAGGAGCCACCCTCAATCCACGAAGCCCTTGCGAACTTTTGAAACGACTGCGAGCGCTTTCAAAACGACTGTGATCCCTCTCGCACGGTCCCGCTTCCAGCGGCTTGGCGAAGGAAGCACCGCGCGGGCCTTCCGAGGGCGGGAGCGGCGAAGCCGACGCGTGCGACGCGCCGACACCCCACTGCCACGTTCGCGCATAAACTGCGCGGCGCTCGGGAGAGGACGGCACTTTGCCCGCTCTCGCGCGGCCCCGCTGCCTCTGCCATGCGACTCGACGACCGAAGCACGACTCGCGCACGCTCGCGAACGCCGCTTCCAAGCGAAACGTGCACGGAGCTTGGGCGAGGACAAAGTCGCCCGCTGGCGCTGGGCCCCCCAACTTGGGGAGTGACAAGTATGCGCCGCGCTCGCGCCACGCTCAGGCGATCTACGCGGCGCCGAGGCGAGAGCAATATTTTCGCCCGCTCGCGAGTCGATGATTTGGTGTGCACCGCGCCCTAAGCGGAGCTCAACTCTCAGCAACATTAGCGCGGCGCCGAGGCGAGAGTGACGTTTCGCCTTTTCGCGCAGGATGCGCACCCCTTCCCACTCACGCCATGCATTTCGCGGCATGGGCCAGAGAACCTCCAGACTGAGAGCCGAAACGTCGACTTCGTATTGCCTCTCAAGAAAAAAAGCAGACCGCCATTTGGGCCACCTGAGTCACCTGTCGGCCGGCCAGCCGGCAGAGTGGAGACATCCGCTCTGCAGGGGCGGGAGAACGGAGAAAACGAGAGAAACGAGGCGGGAGTGCACGGTTTCCCACGGGGTCGTAGGCGACCCGACGAGAAGGAGGAGAAGGAGGAGGAGGAGGAGGCGGAGGAGGAGGAGGAGGAGCAGGAGGAGGAAGAGGAGAACGGGTCGCCTAAGCCCTTCGGAGCAAGCCTCCAGGCGGGAGGAGGCGGGGGTGCAGGAAGGAGGAGGAGGAACAGGAGGCGCAGCAAAGAAACAGGCGGAGCAGGAGGAGGAGCCCCGGCACGCTCCCGCCCCCCGGCCCGCTGAGCGCTGACCCCGCCCCCCGCACCCGCACGCGGCGGCACCCCTGGCGTGGCGCCTATCGGGCGGAACGGTCCGCCGGCGAAACGGCCCGTTGCCGAGGTGGGAGGGCGAGGTGCACGGTTTCCCCCAGGACAGTAGTAGGCGACCCGAGGAGGAGGAGGAGGAGGAGGAGGAGGAGGAGGAGGAGGAGGAGGAGGAGGAGGAGGGGGTGGAGGAGGAGGAGGGGGTGAAGGGGGTGGAGGAGGACGGGGAGGGGGAGGAGGAGATGGAGGAGGGGGAGGAGGAGGAGGAGGAGGAGGGGGAGCAGGAGGAGGAGGAGGAGGAGGAGGAGGAGGAGGAGGGAGGAGGAGGAGGAGGAGGAGGAGAGGAGGAGGAGGGAGGGGGGGGGAGGGAGAGGGAGGGAGGGAGGGAGGGAGGGAGGGAGGGAGGGAGGGAGGGAGGGAGGAGGAGGAGGAGGATTTTTTAGCATGAGACCACGCTGCAGCCCCCGTACACCCCACAGGGAGGGCGAGGCCCTGGGGGGAAGCCGCCGACCACTGAGGACGGACGGCTCTGAAAGACCCGCGAGGGGTGGGTGTGCCAGGGCGCTCCGCGAGACCTGGCAGCAGAGACCCACCCCTGGGTGGCCCCTCACAGGCACGCAGGGCCCAAGGGGGCCCTGCTACACCTGGACGGGGGCCGACGGCGCGCCAGGCAAGGGTGCCGCCACCCGCTTGGGGTGAGAAAAAGGAGGCCCGAGGTGACAGCCTAAAGGACCGCCCAAATTAGGCGGAGGCGACACCAGCAGCGCCACTTGCCCACGGCTGCACAGGGGGACAAGCGGTGCACGGGCAGGTGAAGGGAGAGGGCGCAACCCCTACCCAACACCGAAACGAAAAATGGGCGAAGCCCACGAACAGCGCACCAACACGAACGCACACGTGCACGCACACGCCCGATATGGCCTGCGCGGAGCGAGGGCCGAATGCAGCCCAAGCCCCAGGTATCACAAAACGCACCTTCCCCCACAACTGGGGTGCCTGGCATGCGTGCGACACGGACGGCCTAGAATCGGCAAAAAGCAAGCCAACAAAAAGGACGACGAGGCCTGCCCCAGGTGCTGCTGCGCCTGGAAGCTCTAGCCTCGGCCTCGGCCCCGGCCCCAGCCCTGGCCTTGGCCCCAGCCCAAGCCCCAACAGGGGCCAAGAGGCTCCCAAGAGAGCTCCCAGAAAGGCTCCAGAGCGTCAGCATCGTCGTCGTCGCCGCCGCCGCCGCCGTCGTCGCCGTCCCCCTTGAGGGTCGGCGGCACCGGCCGCTAGGCCTTCCCAATCTCATTGGGGAGGCGTGAGGACCCAGGTTCGGGGACTCGGGTTGGCCTGGCGGGGCTGTCAGGAACATGGCGAGGCTGAAACTTGAGGCGGGCTTCCGCGGCAAGTGTCACACGAAAAGTGACTGTCAACATCTAGGGCGGGCCGACAACAAACGTCGGCAAACCCGAGCTCTTTCGAACTCGGCTCTTACGCTTGTTCCATGATAAAGGCTACCACGTGCGAAGCCCATCCCGGCAGGTCAGAATTCTGAAAAGCGGGTTGGGGTTCGGAATGCGGCGGAAGTCCACAACCAGGTGAACCCTGGCGGGGGTGCCCGATACGATAGGACCCGTAGGGGTACCCGCGTGGCCGCAGAGGTTAGCCAAGGGGGGTTCACGAATCAGCTCGCGTAGCTGGATATGCCGGCGCTTGCTGGCCCTCGAGGGCGCCGGTGCGTCGATGAGAGCTGGCGGCGGCGTGGCCGAGAGCGGCCGCGCGCAGCAGATTTCGCAAACCCCGCCCCACAAGTATCGAGAGGTGCCTGGCGTGCTGGGGTGTCCTCCGGGCTCCCGAGGCGCCAAGGCGGCCCCACAGCGGCCCCAAGAGAGCCCCCGAACGCCCACAGACGGCTCCAGAAATCCCCCACGCGGCCTCACAGCGGCCCCAGAGGCCCCCGAAACCGCGTTCAGCGCCCCAAGAGGCCTCCAAAAAGCCAGAGACTGCTCCAAACATCATCCCTGCTGCCCAAGAAGCCTCCAATACGCGCCCAACAAGCGCCAAGGGGACCCCCCAAAGGGCCCCATCAAGTCAAACCTTGCTTCACTCCATTCAGAAACGTGACATGTTCAGTCGACTCGCTTCTCTGAACTCCGAAGCGTCCACGACGGCCCCAGGGGCCTCAGGTCGCCCACAAACGGCCCAACCATAGCTCCACGGCCCGCAAACAGCCCGAGAAGCGCCCAAGACGGCCCAAGAAGAGAACCCCAAGCGGGGGACCCAAGACGAGCCCAAAAATGGCCCCACGGAGTCGAACCCCAAATGGCCAAAATGAACCCAAGACGGTACGAGAGGCGCCCTGCACGGCCCAAGACGGCCCCGAGGGGCCCCCGCGAGGCCCGAGGAGCGCTCCACGAGGCGCTCCAGCACGGCCCCCTGAGAGGGGCTTAAGAGAACGGCCCCCAAAAGCGTGGGGCGGACGAGCGGCGAGAGAGGCCCCTCGCGGCCGCAAGCGAGTATTCTGTGATGCCCTGGACGACGACGACGTCGACGACGACAACGCCTCGTCGGCCTGCGGGACCGCAGCGAGCAAATGAGGCGATGTGTTGCAGCACGTGTGGAGCGTCGCGTCTCGGACAATCCCAGGAACCGCTGCCCCGCTGCGATCCGTACTTTGCTGCGCCTCGGACGCGGCCCAAGACGGCGCCGCGTTTGCCCCGGCCCGCCCCCGTGTCCGCCGCGATCCAGGCGCGAATCTTCCAAACCCGGCCCTGGCCCGGACGCCGGAACTTCTTGCATTCGCGAAGATCGAACACCTCGGCCCCCGCATAGAGGGGGAACATAAAGACAGGCTTCAAAGAAAATACGGCAGCAGCTGACAGCCTCGCACAGCCCAGCGCGCGTTACCAAACCTCGATCCATTCAACCCCGTAGTAAATGTGTATACGTGTATAAAGCACGTACAAGTGGCACAAGCGTGCCAAGGCTCAGACCAAAACATCCGCAGGAAATGTACGGTGTGTAAGGTTTACGGTATGTGTTCTCTATGTTGTGTGCGTGTATTGTGTGTCGTGTGTGCTATGTGTGAGTTTTCTTGAGTGGGACATAGATGTTCTGCGTATTGTGTGTTGGGTGTGCTGTGTGTGCGGTATGTGTGTGTTGTTTGTGTTGGGCGTGTTGTTTGTGTGTGATGTGTGTGTGTGTGTGTGTTTGTGTTTGCTATGTGTGTGTTGTTTCTTCGTGATCTGTGCAGTGTAGATGTTGTGTTCTTTGTGTGATGGTGTGTGTGTGTGTCATGATTTCTGTGGTGCGTGCGTTATGTGTGTATGTTGTACGTCGGGGCTCGATGTTGGGAAGATGTCTCATGCAAAACTGCAATTCGCAAGTAATCGGGAAGAATCGGGCACAACAACCATGAACCCCTTCTGTGTTTGGCACTTTCATGTTGAACAAGTGCTGTTGGACCGGGACGTCTCAATCTGCCTGAAGGGTGCTTCCGATTCTCAAAAATTCTGGGGATGTCCTGAATGAATTTTCACACAAAATAAGATGCGTGGCTTCAACATTACTCGCATCTGAGCTCTACTCCCTCGGAAAGGTGCCTACGAGAATAGACAAACAGTACATATACACGCATACTCCAGATTCCATAATACAGTGTGGGGTCTGGGGGGAGAATTTGGGGGGGTCTGATTCGAGCTGTCTTGGAGGGTTCAGGTGGTCTGGGCAAAAGGCCGGCCTTTCATGGCTGGCCTGGGGGGGGGGTCTGAACTTGCTCGTTCGGGAGCGCTGTGACCCCTCAACTTTACTATCAGGAGCTCCGGAGCACCCCTGCGTCCGACCCGGCAGGCGGAGACGGGAAGGGGGGTTGGGGACGACAGCGAGGGGGGGGGCGAGCGGAAGGGACGAAACAGGGGAGGCGGGGCAGGAGGAGGAGAGGACGCGGAGGCCATAACGGGGGGAGAGAGGGGAGCGAAGTCCGGGAATAATGGGCCGGTTCTCCAAAACACCGCTGCCACAGGTAGGTAGGACGGGGGAGAAGGGAGGAGGGGCAGGTCCTCGTCCTCCTCCTCCTCCTCCTCCTCCTCCTCCTCCTTCACTCACCCACTCAGGGCGGATGATGTCGATGACAGAAGCCCACCAACTCCTCCTCCTCCTCCACCTCATCCTCACTCTCTATGGTAGTGGTGGTGGAAAACCAGCCCGTCAGGAAAGGGACCTGGCGAGCGGCGAGGACGGGAGTGGATGGGGCAGGAGGGCAGCGAAGTGTATAGAGCAGCGGTGCGACATACCAGCAGCAGCGGAGCAGAGGCGGATGCAGCGGCGGAAGCGTGAGGCGGCCAAAATAGGCAGCGTGTCGCGGCGGCGGTGGCAAGGCGTTGTCCTTCTGCTCGAGGATGTCGGTTAGCATGTAGTTCTTGAAGTGGCGCAGCAGCGTCACCTTCTTTTTAAGGTCCTGCGCCGCCGCGCACGTGCAGTCGCTCTCAACCCTCCGTCGGCGACACGGCGGTGATACAGGAAGTGGCCGAACTGAGGCCCATCGTGAAGCTTGAGCTCTGCCCGAGCTCGCGCACTATTTCTCAGACTGTGGGGGGGGGGCTGTGCCGCGCACGCTGCCGCGCGCGGAGGTCGTCCCCAGAAGTCGAACTCTCAACATACTTACTGTTCTGTTGGCGGCGAGGCGAGGCAGTCCGCTCGAGCGTGTGGCAATTCGGGGCGACCGAGTGGTTCATTGGCTGGCATACAAGAGAGGAAAAAGGGCGAGGGCGGCCGCGCGCGGGGGGGAGGGGGAGAAAAGAGCGCTGAGACGTGGAAGAGTTCCCCATCGGGCGGGCCAGAGCGGCCGACCGTGGCAGCGTTGACCACAGGTGCGCCAGAACTACAAGACAGCATTGACGGGGCGAGCGTGAGTGCACACACGCACACATACAACATAGTCCAGCCTCCCTCGGGGTAGCCAGGCTGCGGAGTGCCCTGCTGGACTGCAGCAAGATCAACCACTTTCATCAACTTGGGAAGCCCGATCGAAATGGAACGAACACCAGATCGGCCCGCGTAGGCTCGGGCTGGGGGTCGAGCCGGATCGGCTGCGCAAAAATGCACAAGAACGCCATGCAAGCATCAGGACGCAGCGGATCGCCGGAATATCGGAATCGAATCGGCTCGGGCCGGCTGAGATCGATGTCGAGTCGGATCGATCGGATCAAAATGGACCCCAGAAGAAGGAGTGCGGAAAGGGGCCCATCCTCCTCTCACCCTCCCCCCCTCCCTGCCTTGCGCCTGCTCCCTGTACTCACACCTTCCCCTCCCCCTCCTCCGGCAGCCCTTCCTCCTCTGGCTCCTCCGTCTCCTCCCCGCCCCTCCTCCAGCACCTGCCTCGAACTCCCGCTTGCTCCTCCGTCTCTTCCTCCTCCGCCCCCCGTCCTCCCGCTCCTCCTCCTCTACCTCCTCCTCCTCCTCCTCCTGCGCCTCCTCCTCCTCCTCCTCCTCCTCCTCCTCCTACTCCTCCTGCGCCTCCTCCTTCTCCTCCTCCTCCCCCTCCCCTCATAAGGTGGGTTCCTGTACCTCTGTGGGAATGCTTTGTGGCCAGAGATTCGAGGCGGATCCAGCCGTGACGACTAGAAGTCACAATGCTAGGGGCATGAATGGCGCAAATCAATGGAAAGAAATACGCCAAAGGCCCAGGAAATACCTACCGCTTTTTCTAGGACCAAAAGATACGAACGCAATCTTTCGGAGGTCCGCGCTGATTTCTTAGTTCGCGCTGACACACCCCTCCCCAGCGCGCGGAGCGCACCAGGAGTGGCTCCGAAGGCGCCGCTAGGGGGTGCCCAGCGCCGATCCAAGAAATTCGCGAGGCTCCGAAAAGTCATTATTATGACATTTCCTGTTCCTCGGTTTGCGCCTTGTCATGGTCGTCGCCATCGTCGTCGCCATCGTCCTCTCAATCGTCGTCGTCGTCGTCGTCGTCATCGTCGTCTTCCGTCGTCGTCGTCGCCGCCGTCATCGTCATCGTCGTCTTCCGTGGTCGTCATCGTCTTGCGTCGTCGTCGTTGTCGTCGTCGTCGTCACGTCGTCGCGGTCTTCCGTCGTCGTCGTCGTCGTCGTTGTGGTCGTCGTCGTGGTCGTCGTGGTCATCGTCGACATCGTCGTCGTGGTTGTCATCTTCGTCGTCGTCGCCGTCTTCCGTCGTCGGCGTCGGCGTCGTCGACTTTCGTCGTCAGCATCCATCGTCAGCTTCCGTCGTCGTCGTCGTCGTCCTCCTCTTGCCTCTCCGCCAGCCTCACGCGCGGCGGGGGACAACGAGCGGAACAAGGGAATCGGCGGCAGCGCCGGCGTCCTCGGGATAGTCCTCAAACGTGTGCTGGGAACGGAGCTCGGGCTTGTCCTGAGCACATGTGGACGCGCTGAGGGGGGGAGGAGAGGCGCAAGGGCAATCCGACCAGCCGACATGGTTCGAGCGGGAGAGGCGGGCCAGCCTGCCCGGTTTTCGGTTGCTCCATGCGGCGGCAGACGTGGTGCCGAACCAAGGGCACGAGCCGACCGCCTCTCGATAGCGGCGCGGACAAGACTTTTCGCGTCCTGGGCTGCGTCCAGGAGGGGCAGTCAGGAGGATGCTGCAGAATAAAGCAGGGATGACACGAGAACGGAAAGAAGGAGCGAGGAGGGGACGACAGGAAGAGTAAGAAACAGGAGGACGGAGCACGGAGAATGTGAGCCAGGAGGAGGGGGAGATCAGGGATGAAAGAACGTGACAATACAAGAGAGATCTTAAGATGAGGGTGGTGAGAGGCGGGAGGAGGAACGAAGGAGGCGGGGGGAGGGATGAGAGGGCGGAAAAGCAGTAGAAGCATCATCATCCTCAACATCCTGAGTCACTTCCATAAATCCTGGTCACCCACAACCACCACCACCGTCACCATGATATCACCACCACCACCACCACCACCACCACCAACCTCATCATTAGGATCATGATGATGAGCAGTACAGACACACGTATGATCATGATCAGAATCGCCATCATCAGCACTCAACATCCGCATCATCATTGCAATTACGATGACCATCATATCCACCACCATCATGCTCATCTTCGGCAGCGCCGCCATCGTCGTCACCATCCTCATCATCACCATGATCACCGTCCTCACCACCATCATCATCAGCAGCAGAAACAACAGCAAAATCATCATCAGCATCAACATCATCATCATCAACATCATCAGCATCATCAACATCATCATCACCCTTCTTATCATCATCATCCTCATTATAAACATCGAGATTCCCATCCACATCACGATCCCCAGTATCATCGTCCGTGGCCGCTAGGGTTTGAGCTACCCTTGGGCGTCGTGCCGGCGCCGCGCCAGCTACAATACGTGCTCTGAGATCCGATTTCCCCCATCGGGAGCCCCACCGAATACCCAAATGGCAGCGCCCACATAGCGGCACCGCGCCCAGTTCCGCGCACCCCTCACACGTTTCGTGGCCCCATAAGGACCTCCACCGAAGGCCCAAATGGCAGCGCCCGCATGGCACCGCCGCGTTCATTTTGGCACGCCCCTCACACGTTCCGTGGCCCCACAAGGAGCTCCACCGAAGACGAGACTCACAGCCGCGGCACTCACAACTACATATTGTTGGGTACTTCGCCAAGAAAAATGAATTCTTCGCGAGAATGCCCGTTACTGGGCCTGGCCGCTCCCCACCGCCAGGTAACGTCACGATTCGTGCTCAAGTCCGAATTTTCCTTGGTGATTCCTAAGCATCCCCACGCGGCGCCGACGCGAAACGTGAAGCTACCGGCCCCCTCCCCCCGCCCCGCCCCCCCTTCTGCGGCAACTCATGGGAGACTCCCATACCATCTTGTTGGCTCTTGCGAATCGACGCGCATCACGAACCGACGCAACTCCGACGCTTAAAGACGATGACTTGGCGTCATCTCATCGACTGCCAGACACTCATCGACGCTAACGTATACTCTAAGGACGAAGCTGCGAGGGTACACAAAGCTCCCATTACTGACCCCACCCCGACAACGCCCGTTATCGACCGGGAACGAACCAACTGAACGCTATCAAATTGACGCGTGCCCTCAAAACCGCGCCGCCGCGGGCGGCTCGAGCGAGCCGGCCAGAGGGGGCAGCGAGCCCGGAATCGTGAACCGTCGCGCAGGCGCGAAAAGGGTCGAGGGCGACCCATTAGTTGGACTTCGATTCGAGAAGCGCGTTCCACTAGTCGCAGAGCAACTACTTGCAAATGGCCTGGATCCGCGGCGAGGGGTCTGAGATCCATTGCATCGAGGCAAGCATGTTCGTTGTTTTGCACGTTTGCGAGCAGGCAAATTGCGAGTATTGGGACGCGTTCGGCGACTGGTGCCACACCTCCGCACTGCCGGGCGCGGGAACGACACGCCCATGTTGCACGCTGCGCGAGGCCCGCAGGCTGCAGGACTGCCGTCTGCTCTGGCACACAGCACGGCGCCTGCAGTTGGAAGGTACTGTGCGACCGTCGGCGGCGGCGGCATCGTCATCGTCATCGTCATCGTCATCGTCATCGTCATCGTCATCGTCATCGTCATCGTCATCGTCATCATCATCGTCATCATCATCATCATCATCATCATCATCATCATCATCATCATCATCATCATCATCATCATCATCATATGTATCAACATCAAAATCATCAACATCACCATCATCATTCGGGCAACGGCTTGACTGTGATGTAAACCGACATGCTTATCGTCGTCGTCGGTTCAATCTTCGTCATCTTTGCATACTCGCAATTGAGACCATGAGTGACCATGGCCAATACCAGCATCACACCATCATCATCACCATCAGAAGCCATCAGCAACATCAGCATCATGGGCATCATCCACATAAGCAGATTCGTCAACACAATCATCATCACCAGCCTCATCAGCATCACCACCAACACAATCAACAACAACAACAGCATCATCACCAGCCGCATCATCATTCCAATCATCAGAAGCATGATCATCGCCACCATCAGCATCGCCATCATCATCATCATCATCACCATCATCATCATCCTCACCGTCATCATCATCAGCATCATCACCATCATCATCATCAACATCATCATCATCATCATCATCATCATCATCATCATCATCAACATACTCATCATCACCATCATCCTTCTTCTGATTGCCAGCAGCATCATTGTCGCCACCACCATCTCCTCCCTCCCTCCCCCATCCTTCTCTTCCTTGTCTTCCCCCTTCTCGTCGTTCTCCTCCTCCTCCTCCTCCTCCTCCTCCTCCTCCTCCTCCTCCTCCTCCTCCTCCTCCTCCTCCTCCTCCTCCTCCTCCTCCTCCTCCCCCTTCTCGTCCCCCCCCCTCGCCCACCTCTGACACCATTATCCTCCTCACCGCCCCATGCCGCTGCTCACCCTCCCAATATATCTAATTTGTTCGCCGCCCCGATGCCCGCGCACCAGCGAGATGAGCTCGGGGGAGGCGAGAGGAAGAGACAGAGAGACGCGGGGCAGGCCAGCGGGCGGTCCCCCCTCTTCCCCAACTCCCCCGTCGGCCCACATCCACGACGTCGGCCCATTTGGAGCTGTGCCATCCGCTAAGAGAGGGATGATCGTACCAGTGAGTCGATCTGCGTATGCGAGAGAGCGTGATACACCGCCGCTTTACTGTGGAAAATTGCCTCCCTCTTCCTCAGAACCCGGGGGTCCCCCCCCTCCGAAAATCCCCCTGCTGGACCCCCCCCCCCTCCCCCAGCACCCCCCCCCTCCCTAACCCCTCCCCCCCCCCCCTCGAAAACCGGGGGGGGTCACTACCGGTTCGACCCCCCCCCCCTTTCGAAAACTGGGCCCCCGGGGGGGTCACTACCGGTTCGACCCCCCCCCCCCTCGAAAACCGGAGGGGGGGTCACTACTGGTTCGAACCCCTCCCCACCCCCCCGCTCACCGCCAGCAAACGACTCCTGGTCCCTACCACCGTCCGCGCCGCGCCACATCCCCCCCTGTTGTTCCCAGCGCCAATGTCCTCACCACCACTGTACCAAGTGGTTCCACCACCGTCCCTACTGTCCCCACCACTGCTCCCACTACTGTCGCACTGTCCCCAGTGGGGACAGTGCAACAATGGTGGGAGCACGCGTCCGTGAAGACAGTGAAGAGTCGGGGGGCGTCCGCGCGCGTGCGTAAGCGTGTGCATGCGTGTGGGGGAAGGGGGGGGGGGCTTGCCCCCAGTGGAAACGACGCCTGCAAGCAAGCTGAAGCGCATGCATGGACAAGCGGACCGCCCACGCGCGACGGTCGCGGAAAACGACGCCAGCTCTGCGCCCTTCGTCGCCGCGGGGCAGCTCCGCAAGCCCAAGGGGGGGGGGCCGCTGGGGTACGCGGCGTTCGGGCCGTGTATGAAATTCAGCGGCCCCCACTGTCCCCACCACTGTTCCCACCACGGTTCCACTCTCCCCACTTTGTCCACGGCCCCAACCACTGCCCGTCTATCCCCTCTGTCCCCACTGTCCCAGTGACTCATCCGCTGTCCCACTGAGCTGTCCCACTGTTCCCACCACTGTCCCCACTGTTCCCACCACTGTCCCCACTGTACCTCTGTCCCATTGTCCCACCGCCGTCCTCGCCACCGCCTTCACCACTGTCCCCACCACCGTTGTACCCTCCACTGCCCCACTGTTTCCACCTCCCACTGTCCCCACACCACTGTCCCCACCACCACCGTCCCCACCACTGTCCACTGTCCCCACTGTTCCCACCATTGTCCTCACCACTGTCCTCACCACTACAGTCCCCACCACTGTCCCACTGTCCCCACCACTGGCCCGCTGTCCCCTCGCCAATCCCCACCACCACCGTCCCCACCACTGTCCGCACCCCCCTCGGTTTTCGAGGGGGGGGGGGTTCGAACCGGTAGTGACCCCCCCCCGGTTTTCGAGGTGGGGGGGGGTTCGAACGGGTGGTGACCCTCCCCCTTTTCATGATGAGCTGGGGGGGGGGGAGGGGTTCGAACCGGTAGTGACCCCCCCCCCCGGTTTTCCGGAGGGGGGGGGGGGTTCGAACCGGTAGTGACCCCCCCCAGTTTTCCGCCATCAGCGGTAGAACACGCTCTTTCGCATATGCCCACCCCCTGGGCGCGGTAGAACACGCTCTTTCGCATATGCCCACCCCCTGGGAGACATCGCCCGCACTATGAGTCAGGATGCCCCCCAGAGACGCGTGCGCTTCAAGGGCAGCGCACAGTGAGGTGAGAACTAGAGCTGCGCAAGTGTTGCCACCAGCCAGGCCTGCACCATCGTACACGTCCGCGGCCCCAGCGGCACCGACCGCTCCTGCAGGGGGCCAGTTTCCCGCACCAGGTCCGCCTTCGATGAGCTCCCGAGGGCCCGAGAACGGGTCCCCAAGGGGCCGAGGCCGAGGAGAAGCACCCGGACGGATGAGATCTTCCGGGGGGAAGCAGGCGGGCCCCAGGCCCGCTGCTCCCCAGCCGTTCCCTGGGCGTTCTGACGACCAGAACTTCGAGGAAACGCCCAGCCGGGGCGACGAGAGCTCTCCAGGACGAGCAGCAGTATCGGTATCCGTTCCTCCTCCTCCTCCTCCTCCTCCTCCTCCTCCTCCGCCTCCGCCTCCGCCTCCGCCTCCGCCTCCGCCTCCGCCTCCGCCTCCGCCTCCTCCTCCTCCTCCTCCTCCTCCTCCCCACTCCTCTCCCACTCCTCCTCACTCCCCACTCCTCCTCCTCCTCCTCCTCCTCCTCCTCCTCCTCCTCCTCCTCCTCCTCCTCCTCCTCCTCCTCCTCCTCCTCCTCCTCCTCCTCCTCCTCGGTATCAGTGTCCTTTGTTCCTCTGATTTTCCCTCCACCCACGTCCGCCCAAACTGCCCCCGCCCCAGCTCCTGCGTGCGCCGAGTGACGTAGTCGAACTTGTCCCCGTCGGGGACCTGCACACATCGGGTGCGTGCGCACGGGGGCGAGACGTGAGTGAGACGCCGAACAAGCTCTGCCTTGCATGAGGTCGGTCCCCTTACAGGCAGGTGTTAGGCAACAAATTTAAACTACCCCCAACAACATTTAAACAAAATTCGAACATGGTGAAAACATGGTCCCCTGACTGTGTTTTGACAATGTCTGAAGATTCCCCCTGCAGAGGGCCAGGACCGACTCAAGCCTAGCACAGCCGTGCCCCTTTGAACAGGGCGTGAGAGGCCGTGGCCTCAACAAGCCAAGCCGATGCGCAAGAATCACCAAGGACCTGCAGCTGGAGTGCCAGGATGGGATGAGAGCCCTACAGGGGAAGGCGAACCATACAGTCATCGGCCTGACCAAAGGAACGACAAATAAGGAACGAAGCCCACGAAGTCCGAAAGAACGGCCGAGCCCCTCTCTAGCGCCAGAAAGATACCGATACGCATGGAAACCTAAGGAACGACCGAGCCCCTTTTGAAAAGGGAGTGTGCCTGATTCAAGCCGCTCACTGTACACGCACCTCTCGTGTGAACCTCTTTTGGACCCCCTCGGGGGCAACTTGGAGGGCACTTGGGGGCGCCTGTCGGGCCAATTTTCTGCAATTCCTCGGCCCTCCAATCGGGGACCTGCTGACCCGGGTCAATCCAGACCCGGGTCAATCAGGCCTTGCAGAATCCTGCAAGATCCTGCAAGATCCTGCACCCAAACCCGGGTCAGTGCAAAGGATCCTGCAAGATCCTGCAGGATCCTGCACCCAAACCCGGGTCAATGCGACCGTGGCCCTGCAGGATCCTGCAAGATCGGGCGCTCTGGCTGACCCCCGTTTGCACTGACCCCCGTCTCAAGACTTCCGACTTCCTGTCCCCCCCCCCCGCTGCCGTGAGGAACAGCAGTAGGGCGAGGGGCCGGCTCAGCTCCAGGGGGAAATCCGGCGAGGCGGGCATCGGCGATGCACTGCCGATAGATCGGCGACGGGCTCCCCATAGCAAATCCGCACACGCCTGGGCGGGGTGGGCAATCGGGCCCACGTCGGCGATGAATGGGCGATTGGGGGGCGATGTATGGTGGCGGCGCGCACGAGGGGCTGGAGGGAGGGGGGGGAGGGCTTCTTAGAAGGAGGTTGTGTCGTTTCGTCTTCTGGCCCACTACATCTACAGATGAGGCCCGCGCCTTCTAAGAAGCATGGGTGCTTCTAAGAAGCCCTCCCCCTTCCCCCACCCCCCTTCTGCGCGTGGCTGAGCATGCTCCCTGAGACCGGAAACAAGCCGCCGAGGTCCGACGAGAGCGCCCGAAAAAACATCGGAATTCTCGAGCGAGGCGTTCCTCTCTGAGACTGGTTTCCCCCTCTGGCCTCCCGCCCGGGCGTTTCCCCCCGGCGTTGCCCCTCATTATTGCCCCCACTCCCCCCAGGGGAACAACAAACGATGACATACATCAGAATGATGGGGCCGAACGGTCGTTCACTGTCCCTGGGTGCGTGGCTGAAGTGGAATTCCGCGGTGCGGATTCTCGTTGTTGTTGTTTGTTGTTATGTATTGTTGTTGTTTGTTGTCGTCGTCCCACCCGCAACCCGCCCCGCGACCCACCCGCGACCCACCCCGCGACCCACCCCGCGACCCACCCCGAAACCCACCCGCGACCCACCCGCGACCCACCCGCGACCCACCCCGCGACCCACCCCGCGACCCACCCCGCGACCCATCCCGCGACCCACCCCGCGACCCAACCCGCGACCCACCCCGCGACCCCCCCGCGGCCCACCCCGCGACCCACCCGCGACCCACCCGCGACCCGCCCGCGACCCACCCGCGACCTACCCCGCGACCCACCCGCGACCCACCTTCGACCCAAACCACGTTCAAGGTGCAAACCACAATTTTCGGCGCCTGTGGCGGGATTTTTTTGCATTCCTTCCAGGTGGAGAGCCCGCGACCCACCCCGTGACCAACTCGCGACCAACCCGCGACCCAAACAACGTTCAGGGTACAAACCACATTTTTCGGCGCTTGCGGCAGGCATCTTTTGCATTCGCTTCAGGTGGAGAGCCCGCGGCCCACCCGCGACCACGTTCAGGGTACAAACCATATTTTTCGGCGCCTGCGGCGGGCATCTTTTGCATTCGTTCCCGGTGGAGAACCCGCGGCCCACCCGCGACCCAAACCACGTTCAGTGTACAAACCAATTTTTTGGGCGCCTGCGGCGGGCTGCTTTTTGCATTCCTTCCAGGTGGAGGTGGAGAGCCCGCGACCCACCCGCGACCTAAACCACGTTCACTGAACAAACCAATGCCGCACAAGCGCGGCGGCGGATTTTTGCATGCCGTCTGAACCCGCAAGGACCTCTTCAAGCCCCGCGCATCCACACCAGCCCGTCGAGCAACTTTGCCCTGGCGAGTTGCCTTGATCAGAGAAGTCGGGGAGCATAAAGTGGAAAAAAGGATTGCGTTGCCGTTATCTTGGGAAAGGAGGGGGAGGCAGGAGGAGTAAACAGGGGACGAGGAGGACGCGAAAGAAGAGAGGATGTAAGGAGAATGTGGAGAAAGAGGAGGAGGAGGAGGAGGAGGAGCAGCAGGAGGACGAGGAGGGGGAGGGGGGGGGATGAGGAGGGCGAGGAGGGGGAGGAGGGGGGGATGATGATGATGGACGACAATGGGAGGACGATGATGGAGGCCGATGAGGGGGAGGACGACAGTGGGAGGACGATGATGAAAGGACGAGGGGGGGAGAGGGAGGACGAGGAAGAAGAGGAGGAGGAGGACGAGGTGGAAGAGGAGGATGACGATGACAATGAGGACGAGGACGAGGAAGAGGAGGAGGAGGAGGAGGAGGAGGAGGAGGAGGAGGAGGAGGAGGAGAGCGCCATCGACAGGGAAGGTGGGGGCCACGAGGTCCGCCGGCTCGACGACGCCCGCGTCGCCCGCGCCCGCCCCCTCACTCTTATCCGCAATGGCGGGGTGCTACGTATCAAAACTCTGAGGTCTCCGCGGATTCCTCGGATCGGCGCTGGGTCCCACTCTGGCGCGCTCCGCGCGCCAAAGAGGGGTTCAGCGCGGTTCCGAGAAATCCGCGCGGACCTCACAATTGTGCATGTGTTTGTCATTGTTTGTTTCCCGACCCCCCGTTGCCGCCTTCTGTTGCAAACGCATGGGGGTCGCCTCAGACCATCTTGCTCGTTCCCGGGAATTCGACGCCAAGTCGGCGCCATCTCACTGCCTAACTAACAGGCGCCGATTGACGCGTGCACTCTCAAGACGGGACGCACGAGGACGCGCCAGTGGCCCGTGCCCGCCTCGGAGGGGCGCGCCCAGCCCGAACATGTGGCATCACCATCCTGCAGCAGATCTTCTCCCCAGCGGTATGGCCAGGCAGCGCCCGCCACGCAGCTCATACTAGAGGGCTTCTCGGCGCGCGCGTCGGCCCGGCCCTAGGGGGGGGGGGGAGCGACGCGCACACAGAGCCAGTACGTTGGGGCGACGCCGATCCCTCCACGACCCAGGTCAGTTGGCGCGCTTCGGGGGGCGTCGTGCTCGGGCCGTCTGGGGGCCGGCGCGGGGCTCCCTTCGGGCCGTCTTGGGGCTCGGCTGGGCCGTGGAGCGGGTGGGTAGAAACCTTGGGGCGGGCAAGACAGCGCCCCGCCCGACCCCCCCCCCCAGGGCCTCTGAGGGGACAGCCGCGGATGGGACGAAAGGAGGGTAGCGCGGAGGGCCGTCGAATAAACTTGGCTTCGCGCAGAGAGCCAGCAACCGAAGGCGCCGCCTCGGCCCAAGTTTGTTCGAGGACCAGGACCAAAGGCGCCGGCATGCCTGGCCATGCTTCAGGTGA